AGAAGTTATTGACTTGAGCCTTTTACAGCTCATCATATTAATATGGCTTTACTTTATATATCTCATTTTTATACTTTTCTGCTGGATGGTTAAGACCAAGATAAAGCAAGACCTATATAACAAGAAATGTAACTTTTGTATCTGATAAGGTCAGTTAAGTACCCTCAAGATTCATCCTGTAGCCCTGTACCGCACTTTGTAGATCCTTTGTCAGTGTCAGCCATGAGGATGAGTCACAGCCATTGCTTGGCCAATTTGCTCTCTGAAAGCCTGAGAGAATGTTTTTTCTCTCTATGTGACTCTCCCCAGGCACACTCTACATCATCGATCACATTCCTGTGTGCCTCCGTAATCTCCTTCATCAGAAAATTTGGAGCACAACTGAGTTACATGATGTTACAGTATAGGTTCTCCTATGTCCTGAGTCTTCACTGACCTTGAAAGGCTAGGGCCAAAATGTTGGCTGACCTTGCAGCCCTTCCTTTTCTCCAATTTTGATCTACTAACTTAGGTTGTTAACCCTCCAGAAGAGAAGCTTATTATTAACCTGCAATATATGCAGTTTGGTTTACCCTGTCTAAATATCAAACATCTTTGGCATATCATGAAACAGGTATTTTCCATAAAATATTGATATGTTGAATTTTAAGTCTTTACAGAATATGAAGGAAAAATAATTTTTTAAAAGTAGAAATAAGTATTTACATATTTTTACAAAGAAATTTAGAAATCTAACCATATACAGAATTGTAACAGGACAGACCTGTAACATTTTTTTTCTTATTCTTGTGTCTTTTTTTTTATTTATTACCCTTAAAAAAAAAAAAAACCTTTACTTGAGAGACATTATGGCAGTAAATGGCATATCATGACAAGAAGTACATATTTAGAAGACCAGGATGGCAGGCACTCCAAGCGTGACCCTTCTTTTACACATCGCCATCCTCAGTGCAGCTGCCTGGCTCACAGGCACCAGCATATACAATTAGTCAGGGTGAGAATCTCACCAGCCAACCACTAGTCTCAATAACCTGCTGATGTTCCCCAGGATCACTGCCCCACCCATCTCATGCAAACAAATGCATGGCTTTGCCCCTGTCATGTTTTCCAGCTTTTCTCCTTGTCCACTCCTCATTGTTCAATCCTCAAGTTCTCGCTTTCCTTTTATTTGTGTTGTAACTTTCTATATGTAATTCCTCTTTTAAGTTCTTATACTAGGGAGACAATATGATATTTACACACGTGGGTCTGTTTTATTTCACTTATAAGTATATCTTCAAGTGGCATCCACTTAAATATGCAGGCTTCAAGTATATCATTCTTTATAGCAGTGTAATACTCCATTACATAAAAGTACCACATCTTTTTCAACCATTCCACGTGTGATGGGCATCTTGGCTGTTTCCAAGATCTGGCTATCACAAATTGTGCTGCTATAAACATAGGTACACGTACATCACTATGATATGACACTTTCAGTTCCTCAGGGAAAATTCCCAGTAGGGGGATAGCGGGCTTGAATGGGATTTCCAGTCCTAGTTTTTTAAGAAGTCTCCACACTGATTTCCATA